TCCACAATCTGTCTTTCACGAATAAAAGCATTTTGACCAGCCGAAACGATTGTTGGGAGAAAACAGGCTAGTCGCTCTGCCAGGATTTTAGTTATAATCTTATACACAAATTGGCATAGGCTTATAGGACGCAAATGTCTCATAGATTCAACATTATCCACTTTTGGGATTAGGGTGAGCCAGGTATGGTTGAAACTACGAAGCATCCTCCCTGTCGAGAAGAATGAACATACAGCTTCAATCACTGACGACCCAACAATATCCCAGAAGGATTTGAAGAATTTTCCCGTAAACCCATCCGATCCCGGCGCCTGTTTCGATCCCATTGCAAAAACAGTTCGACGTACTTCCTCCGGGAGAACCGCCGCCGTTAAGGACTCATTCATCTCAGGCGTAACATTTTGCTCAATGGGGAGAGAAAATACACGTTCCCTCATGTTAGGGACCTGATTTTCCGAAGTGAAGAGGCTACGATAAAAATTTGTCGCAACCTCTGCTTTCCCCTTCTCATCAGTGACCCACTCCCCATCATCAGAGCGGAGCCCTTCTACAAAGTTCCTTTTCCGCCGAGTTTTAGTTACTGTGTGAAAGTAAGAAGTGTTTTTGTCCCCCTTTTTAAGCCAGTGAACCCTAGACTTCTGTTGCCAATAGATTTCTTCTGCCTCCCAACTGACGACAGATAAATATAGAAAAAAATTAAAAGAAGAATCTACGATGTGATTCAAAGACTAAACTATTATCCTTCCTTCAAGACGGGCAATGGTAAAATCTTCTGGTTTTCCACCCACGTTTCAATCTCAGCTTCTAACCATGTGCATCTTTCAAGATCATGTGCTTAACTTTTCATTTAAGATGGGGATCATGGGTGGAGTTTTGACTTGGCATACCACAATCAGAGTTGATCATGGATTTTCCCCTCTGGGTATGCGCCAGATTGATTTGCATACTTTTAAAGATCATGCTAATGGACTATCTTTTGTAAGTTCGGTTTTGGTCTAAATGCTCACAAACCAATAACCATAACTATATCCACAAAACTTATAATGCATGTATTGTTCAAAATGCCTTGTTTTTTTGAATTTTCTGCACAAACAATACATGCATTGTTTGCTTGATTTGACACAAACTATCACTCAAAATGAGTGATAGTTAAATCTCAAGTTTTTTGTGAGATTGTTGAGATTGTTTGGTGAAGATTGTTGAGTTATTTTTTCTTCCAACTATGTCCCTACCTTTCCATGTGTGTTACTTTTTTATATTAAAAGTAAAGGGTAAAAGTGACATTTCATCCAAAAAGTAGTATAAGTTGTTTAAATACTACAATAACTATCACAAAAACCAAACGATATAAACTATAATACACCAATTTTCTTATATACATGCATATTAGTATACATGCATTGATGACAATGAATGAAATTTAAATGTATTTGAGTCCATTAACCACCATTTAAATAATGAAAGTGGAAAAAAACAATTGTTTGTTGTATACTGTGTTCAAAACTCAGTTAAGGGCTCTTTGTTGAATAGAGTCTTAACCACCACCCAATAAATCTTCCTACTGAGAAAGCAACCCGCTCCTACCTTCAACCAACAAAACAAATTCAATTTGATTGATATATAATTGAATACTAGGTAATTAGCCCGTGCTTCGCAACGGGAATGATATTATCAAGAAATGCATCAACTTATTAGTTACTTAGATTTCAATGAGAGCTCTATGAAAATGACTTCAATAAAGTTGAGGCCATCTTTCCCCTAAACTTCATCAATAGGAATCATATGCTGAGATAGTTCACTAATAGACCGAGAGATAAGTAATTCGGCCCATTCATATTTAAATCATGAATGTTTGGAATTCATATTATGCAAAGAGCCATTGCATTTTGCTAATTCGAATTGAAGGGTAAAGAACATTAAATGATTCAACATTAATTTCCATCAAACCCATTATCCCAACCGAGAATTTCTGGAACACATGAGCCCTGCCCACCATTTATTCTCGGTCCTCGGCATTATTTACGGATGCCAGTAGTATACATTCTCTCCTGTCGAAGGAAACCAATTTAGCTTCTACTCCTCTTTGGAAAAGATCTGCCTACTACAAACTGCCCTTTTTCAAATATCTCAATGATGAGTTTGTCAATTTAATAGTTTAAATCTACATCACAGGCATGACCATCTTTAGTGTCTTAAAACATGAACCTTGAAATCAGTAACTAATCACTCAGTGTGGCACTCCTTCATCCTTCTAAAACAACATACATAAAATCATCACCTAATGAAGAAAAAACTCTAATTTAAACTGATCCATCATCACCTTGCTGCTAGTGAAGCGGAATTCTCCCTGGTCAATACATCTTCAAAGTACATGCATGTACCTAATAGAAGCAATAGGAAAATTCAATAAGAAAACATAATAATAAGATAAAAGAAGCAACAAATAGATAAATAACCTCATTGGTTGACTGTTTTGAATCAAGCCTTACGAACTGCAGGCCAAGTTTAAGCATGCTGCATGCAGATTTACTACCCTTCTTCAAGCCAATTAGCTAGTCATTGACACTGATGAACGAACAGCAAAGAGCATTAGATGACCAGCACATTTAGCGTAAGTAACTCGGTGTAAAAGCAATAGAGTTATAGAGAAGGCTCCTAGAAAATATAGCACACGGGAGACACACAAACAATCTAATACTAACTTTGCATATGAGAAGAGAAAAAACCCCACAAGTAACTGGGAAAAGGAGTCTAAGTATTGATTGGCATGCCTTTCTCTAGGGCAGCCATAAGAACTTTCTCATATCAGTATTAATCAAATTCAAGCAGGAATCTAAGGATATATATATGGTCTTTGTGGGCCTTAAATGATGGATATAAGGTGAGAATTGCTGCACAAAACTATATCTTCACACATGGAAACATGAAGTAACAAAATATGGAAGTAGATGAATCATGTGAACAGCATGGATCAATTAACATGTTGTGGTAATGCCATAGAAGTATTACAGGCTAATAAATACCTGCAAGGCTGGCCTCCTTTCATTTTTTACACTTGGGAGAATGCCAACACCATGATTGTGCAAACTGGAACCGGAAGTCCAGCCAGAAAGGAATCACCGCATAGCCAATTAACAACTTTACTTTGATTAGGAGGCGGAAGCAGACTGCAAAGCAGCTTAAGAAACTAATTCAAGTTATCAATCTAAAAAGCATAACCTCTGTTACTTCTATAAATAATCATTTCAGGGTTATCCAACAGTGCACACATCATGTGAAAAGCTCTTGAATGATTAGATTATAAACATTCTAAACCAATCACTGAAATTGTGTACAGCATGACCATTATGATTCACATCTATGTCCGATTCCCAGTCCCAGGAAATGCAATTCGCTTCTCTGATGTTTGGCTTGTTCTTGGACCACTGCCACACAAAATACATCCAAGAGACTACTAAAAATCGGAAGCCGTTCCAACATGCTGTAACCCAATCCAACTGTATAGAAGAATGAAGAACCCAGAGGAATGTAAGGGATTGACAAACCTAAAGCTTGATAACAATGGAGACCACCATCTCTCTCAATCTAAGAAGAAAAATGGGGAGTCAGAGGGAGTGTAAGAAATTGTCATACCTAAAGCCAAGCTCCCGAGATTTTTCCATCCTAACATTCTTCTTCTCTGGAAACCTTAAGAGCACCGTTGACACTCCAGAAACCCTCTCAAATTCAGGGAAAGATATAAAACAGCAATTGGGTGATATAAAATCATCGAATCTGTAATGGGTAGAAAAGAGAAGAAATTGGAATGGCCAAGCAGAGGAAGAGGAAGCCTAGGTTAGTGAATTCGACATGCTCAGAGAAGAAGAAGTGGAGGGAGCAGGGATCGTTTGCACCATCTTGCCCTAAACTAAAAGTGATGCTATTGATTCACTTTGTCCTCTGCTCCTTTTAATTTCTCATCAGCAAATCAAGAAAAATAAAAGTAGGAAGAGGAAGAACTCACCTTCGTAGTTCTTTTCTGCTTGATTCCAAAGCAAAATCCTCATGCCCTCAAGGATAAGAGAGGAGAATGGCGTCGCCATCGTCGGGGCTCTATGCTTTCGTCGATTTTATCTCAGAACTTCTGACTCAGAAGGGGAATAGATGCTGATGGCTAATTGATTGCGGAAGGGGATATGGGAAAGTCAAGGAGAGAAAAAAGGAGTTCCAGAGGATAGAGAATATCTGAAATTGAGAAGAAGAACGTAGTAGCAGAGGGAACGGGAATAGATATAGAGGAGAGAGGAACGGTAGAAGGAAGGCAAGAATCCAACGGTCATGATTGACCTGCCAATATGTTAATCAATGGTCATGCTTGGCTAGCCCAAGATGGTATACATGGGTGCAGTTAGAATCGACCACAGACAGTTCATGCCCCACTGTGAACAGTTATTCCGAAAATTTCTTAAGGAACAGTGATTCCGATTTTTTTGTTACTCGCGGGTTAATTATTCTAATATTCACTTATATACACTAAGCCTACAACTAAATGAGGTTATTTATTTAGACTTCATTATTACCATGACTTAGCTCAGTTAGTAATATATTATTTTTATCATTTTATCATTTATCTGGTAATTCAACTAGTTTGGAAACTTACTTATCATTGGTAAGAACGTTTTCCCATTAAACAAAAACAAAATATGCTTCCAACATAATTACAGTATTGTTTTCTTCTCCCTAAATTACCACAAGAGTTTGATAAATGAAAATCACATGAGAGATGTGATAATAAATTATCAAAACAAAGATGTAATAATGAAAATTTTAAAATGGGGGGATGAAACAATTAATTTCACTAAAAATTGTAACAGTTAGCTCTTATGGGATGTCTAGTAGATAATTTCTTTAAAGTAAAACAAAAAGAAGCAAAAACAGCAACACGTGGCCAATGATGTCACGCCACATTTTCCCCTGACTATATAAACTAATCATACATTCCCTCCACAAACAAAGAAACCAAAGAAGTTTTCTTTACCAGATCCCACCATTTGTCAGTCAGGTAAAGAACTTGTTAAATTCTAATTCAATTTCCTTCAAGACACGATCTGGGTTCCTCTTCTTTCTCTTCATTTTAAGAATTCCATTTTTGTGGGTTGGGCTTGAACAGGCCGGCAATGGAAGTTACAGCAGCGGTTTGGGTATGTCTCCTGGCGCTGGTAATTGCAGGCGGGAGTTCATCGTCATCAGTTGAGGCCAGAAAGAAGTCTTTGAAGCTCGACTCCTTTGAGTTCACAGGGAGAGATTGCAGGGCTAATGTAGCCTCCATTACAGATTTCGGAGGCGTTGGAGATGGCAACACTTCAAACACCAAGGCTTTCCAGGCTGCAATGGATTCTCTGGCCAAGTACTCTGCAGAAGGAGGGTCTTTGCTCTATATCCCTCCAGGGAGATGGCTGACTTCCAGTTTCAACATCACCAGCAGCCATTTCACTCTCTACCTTGACCAGGATGCCGTTCTTCTTGCTGCCCAGGTAATTGGAACAAAAGAAAACCCCTTAAAGTTGCTATCTTTTTTAACTTTTTCAGTTTCTCTCTGAAAATTAGGCATTCAGTGGAGTAAAGGGAAAATGGGTTGATAACAATTTTGCAATTTTTCTGATTGTATGCTTTTCCTTCAAGGTTTTGTTCTACAGTAGGACCAGGAGAGGGATTTTTCAGCAACTAACCCTAAAAAAAGGCTTCACCATATGTTTTTATGTTTGTGGTGCCATAGCCCACTAATTTGGCAACAGGAGTCTAGGACCAGCCTTAGGCTTTTTTATCATTTGATGCCCGGCTTTAAGTTGAGGTATTTGGTAATTATGTTAACCACTTGTTGGCCCCTCCTGCAAATTTCCAGCCATTGAATGTCTGATCCAATGCCTAAAATGACCCCGAGACATTCATCGGCTTGAAACGTGAGCACGATTTAACCGTTAACAGCGCCCATTTTTAGCATAATAGCACGATTGAAGTTGCTCGGCAGAAACTTCGAATTTGTGGAAGTTGTGTGCCTGTATATACGTGGAACAGTTTTCACAAACTAGACAGTTTACTGGACTAAATGTGGCTAATGGAATGTGTTGTGTTTTGGGTTTAGGATGAAAACGAATGGCCAGTGATTGAGCCATTGCCATCTTACGGCAGAGGAAGGGATGCTGATGGTGGAAGGTACAGCAGTCTAATCTTCGGCACAAACCTTACCGATGTTGTAATCACAGGTAATAATACCAACAAAAGGCTGTTCAGTTTCAAGTTTGAGACTTTCAACAAGTGGGTCTCTGTCGAATCACTGAAACGATTGAACTGTTTTATGGTCTTTTTTTTTCAGGTGCCAATGGGACTCTTGATGGCCAAGGAGAACTGTGGTGGAAGAAATACCGCGCAGGCCAGCTCAACTACACCAGACCTTACTTGATCGAACTCATGTACTCAAGCGAGATCCAGATCTCAAATCTCACACTGCTCAATTCTCCGTCGTGGAACGTACATCCCGTTTACTGCACCAACACTCTCGTCAAAGGCTTGACGATTCTGGCTCCCGTCACCTCTGCAAATACAGATGGTATCAACCCAGGTAACAACACTCCACCAATCACCCTTAAAGAGAAGCTGACACCGTTGGATTGTCCTTACATTCTTTTGGGTTGTTTTTCCATTTCTCCAGATTCTTGCACCAACACCAGGATAGAAGACTGCTTCATCGTCTCCGGCGACGACTGCGTCGCGGTGAAGAGTGGATGGGACGAGTATGGAATCGCTTATGGGATGCCTACGAAGCATCTAGTCATACGGAGGCTGACCTGCATCTCCCCCTTCAGCGCGGCGATCGCATTGGGGAGCGAAATGTCTGGCGGGATTGAGGATGTGAGAGCAGAGGACATCACGGCGATCAACACAGAGTCCGGCGTCAGGATCAAGACCGCGGTCGGCCGTGGAGGCTATGTGAAGGACATATACGTGAGGAGATTTACCATGAAGACGATGAAGTGGGCATTCTGGATGACAGGGAACTACGGTTCCCACCCTGACAACAACTACGATCCCAATGCCATCCCTGTTGTGGAGAACATCAACTACCGCGACATGGTCGCGGAGAACGTGTCGATGGCGGCCAAGTTGGAAGGGATCGGGGGCGATCCTTTCACCGGAATCTGCATATCGAACGTGACCATCGGGCTCGCGGAGAAGGCCAAGAAGCTGCAGTGGAACTGTACAGACATTGCAGGGGTGACGAGCTCTGTGACGCCTCAGCCGTGTGATTTGTTGCCCGATCAGGGGGAAAAGCAGACATCTTGCAATTTCCCGGATGACACGCTGGCAATTGAGGAAGTGGAAGCTCATGCTTGCTCTTACAGTAAGAGATACTTGTGACATAAGCAATGAAGTTTGGCTGCAGTCAAGTCTCTGCTTTTGTCAAACTGTGCAAGTAATTCAAGCCTTCAAGGCTTTCAAAATCAAATCTACAGGAAACAAGGATTGTGAAGTCAAAAGAACTCTAGTAAATACTGTCATTCTAAAGTGGGCTAACATGTAATGAATGTAAATAAGATGAAAGATGAAACCTAATTTATGGAAAAAGTAAAACATGGGTTGGGGGATAAATTTGGTTCTTTCAAGGACCACCAACCCATTTGATCCTGCAGAAACTGAATATGAACTGAAAGTTCTGTACCTGTTAGAGGGTCTGCAACTTTGGTTTCGATTTCATGAGCCCCCTGAAAAGAGTAAACAAAAGCACTTTCGATTTCATTTTGATCCACAAATTTTCTTCTCTAAACCTGATCAGGAACGTGTACAAGACTGTCACCTGTTCAAATCAAACAATCTAAAAAATTCCAAATTAATATCACATGACAACTTTATTCGGATAGTATATAAGCTTTAGGTATTAGACTCGTGGATTATTTCGCTATAAGCAACTATCATTGCTGTTAGCTCACGTACTTGGAACTGTGTTCCAAACTTGTACACATGAAAAGGATCTGCACAAACTTTTTTACAATATCATGTCATGTTTCTTAATGTTGGTTTACTTGAGCAAACTTGTCTCTCAAACAGCTAATTCTGCTATAGCCCTATTGAGCTTCTTGAATATTGTGGCAATTCTACATCTAATGATGATGTCCACTTTTCCAGAGTTGCAAAGCTCAGGATGTGATGATCATATCAGGCCGATATATTTCCGGGGAGGTCTTTTCTCGTTTCTCAACATTTCACCTCTTCAACAGCACATTCTTCTTCTTCTTCTTCTAGTGTTGGGTATCCGGATTGAACTTCACTGACTCCCTCCATATGAGCTCCTTAATATGCTCTTCGGTGCATGAAGGGTGCTCAAAATCGAAGTGGAATGGTGCAGTGCAGATTGGTTCATCGTTGATATCATGGAGGGGTGACAAGTACGGGTGGCAAAGTGCATCATCAACTGCAATTACAGAAGCACACAGATATATAAATAAAATCCTAGAAACTGGTTCATAAAGCTGCCTCATATTCAATTCCATGTACCTGTAATGCGTTTGTTGGGATCAAATACAAGCATCTTTTCTAGCAGATCGACGGCACCAGAAGACATAGTGGGAAACCTCATGGAGAAGTTCTGTTTTCTGAACTGTGGAAGCTGTCTAACATATCTTCTTGCATTGTCACTTCTAAGGAAACCAAGGCTAGCATCATCTGGCGAACCTATTAGCTTTTTTAAAGAGATAAAAAAAAAACATATGTAAGAAGTCGCAAACAAGAACTCAATGATGGATCAATCATGTTCCTTAACTTCATAAGGATGATGATTCCAACATATCAAGGGAGGCTTGTCAATGATTAAGACTTGGTCCGCAAAATAGGTTCTTTGATAACATCTGAAACAATTAAGGATAACTAATGTTCTTCATTTCTATTAGTACAAATGATGCAAGCTCTCGCCATGGGACCCGTAAGCTGTCGAGACACAACTCGTCCCAAACTTGGGTTGTTGGCAGAGGCCCGAATATGAATCTTGCACCATTCGTTCCCTTAAATATAAACCAGGTTAATCAGAAGCCAAACACCTATGCATAAGCTTTAAGCTAGAGTCGAAGGTAGGGATAATCCACAAGGGAAGCAAACATATGAAGGAATATAACTGAAAAGAGTCCTGGAAAGCCATACCTCTGTGATAAGCCTCAGTTGATGAACATAATCCTTTCCAGGAAATAGGGGCTCCTGTGTCATAATTTCACCAAGGATGCAACCAACAGACCAAATATCTATTGCAGCAGTGTACTCTGAACAATTAAGAAGCAATTCTGGTGCTCGATACCAACGAGTGACGACATACTCGGTCATAAAATCTGTCTCTGAAGTTGTTCTTGCCAGCCCAAAATCTCCAATTTTAAGGTCACAATTTGCATTCAGGAGCAAATTGCTGGGCTTAAGATCTCGATGCAGGACATTGGCTGAATGCACATATCTCAAACCTCGCAGCAGTTGATACAAGAAGTACTGTGAAAAAGGATCATTTAAGAGCTATTAGTTTTCCTGTTTAAACTGAACCTTCGAAATGGAATTGTCATCCAACATTCTACCTCCAAAGACCACATCTAGCAGTTCAGCATTTCAATTAATTGGATATTCTGAAGTTACAATCGTCAATAGCAAAATACACACATAGGATCTTTGAGTTTCTCATCCTGAATGCTATGATCGGGGTACCAAGCTACAGGAAACCATCAATAAGGCATCCAGCAAGCTTCCAGACTTGAAAAAACATGTAATATGGTACAAAATCACAACCATAATTCTTGGCACCTAACCTGGCAGTGATCATCAGTCAATGCTTGTCCAGAACGAATAATCTGATGGAGGTCAGTATCCATCAATTCATAAACTATGTAGACATCATTGAATGCTTCCTTCTTCGGTGGTCGGATAATGTCCCTGATAGCAATTACCTGCAAAGGAAATGAATAGATAACTAATCTTAGCTCCAAGTCTAGTGAAAGAAACGAGCAATTGCTTATACGACGGTAAACCTAAGATCAAATTACTGTATCATGCATTTCCAAGCTTAAATAAATAGTGAAATGAAAAGAAAAACAACTAAAAGTCTACTACGAATTACATTATCATGGTCCATATGGCGTAGAAGCTTAATCTCTCTCAACGTCCTTTTTGCATCGATTCTGTTGTCAAACGCATTCCCAATCTTTTTTATTGCAACCTCCTCTTGTGTCTCGGAGTTCACCGCGGCACTGAACAAAGGTACCATCAATGTTTATTAGACAAAGCACTATACCATACCACAGGATTCCTTGCATAATCAGAGACGAAAAAACGAAAGAAAGAAGACAGTTTAGACTAGCACATTATATTAGAAAAGGATTGCAGTAATCACATCCAAAGAGCCATACAACAAAACATATTCTTAAGCAAGGCCGTGTGAACACATGATGCACGGTTTGACTCTTCAACCATTCCATTTGCCTCCACCCAAAAATGCAGTGTTGAAATGAAGCATTTGAGAAACCACGATGAATTTTCTAGTCCACTTCTTATATTCTACACATAAAATAGTCATAATCTTCAATCAGTATTCATTATTCTATTCCTGGGAATTCATGGCTTCTAGTCAGCAAATGCCAATATGAAGAATAAATTCCACTGCAATATGGAGACCGCAAGTACTAAACAGAACCAGAATATACTCTAGATGACACCAGTTCTAGTTGATTCAGATTCCATTTCTGAACCCGGCAATTACTAGAGAGCCACTTTTGCATGCGACGTCATCAGCATAAGTAGCCCAGAGGGGAGCTAATCCAAACAAATGAACCATTACACATCATGAATCAACGAACAAAAGCATATCCTCAATCCTATAAAAACAGCAAAGTTTGGCTTCTCGATGAACAGAAGCTTAGGCACCCAGAAGTAGAAACCTCGATCAAAACAAAGAAACGATCAACAAACTCAAAGCAATAAAACCCAGAAACGGGAAAGAACAGAGAGAGAAAGTTTACCAGACAATGCCATAAGCGCCACGGCCGATGGGCCGAATGGGAGGAACGTACTTACTGGAAACTTCAAACAAGTTCCCATGGACATTATACTGCACGTAACGGCCGCCGTGAGTCGGAACTCCCTTTATCTTACCGCCGCTTCCGCCTCCGTCCTTGGCAGCCGTAGAGGAGCTCGAGTCTTTACTCCCACTGGAGACCATACTTTTCCCCCTTCAGCAGCTTTCTCCACTCCGGGGCTTCTTTCGTCGCAGACCTAAACAGGAGCAGAGGATTTGGCTCGACCGCACAGAGAGAGAGAGAGGCTCTAAAACTCGACACTCGTCTACTGGCCAACCTCCGCAATTAAAGATGCGGAAGCTTTCGTATCTTGCTTGCAGCTCTTTTCTTCTTCTTTTTTAACTTTCAGCGAGTGGGTGAATACCCGTGAAATGAAGATGAAGATGAAACCAACACCAACCCTTTCCAATTTCTTCCAGAGAAAAACATTTTGAATTTTCCATAAAAAGGTTTTTTAATTGAAAAGGGTTACTACTTTTTAAATAACCGCGTAGCCGTCTGAATGTCTGATTGGCTACTCTCAAGTCTCAACAGTCAGCACCATAGTTGACGTCAACGTGGCGAAGAATTCAAACTGGAGTTAGCTGCTGATCATGGACTTGCGCTTGAAATTGTTGGGAAATTTAATCACCTGGGCTTTCCTCCAGATCTGGGCTTGTAACTTTAAGGTACGTTCTTACTGGGCTCCATCAGAGTTAGTTTGGATTGCAATTCACCGTACAGGCCTGCTTGAAAATGTCCACACGACGAGCAAGAAGAATGCTTTGACGTAGCGGCAACTGTATAAGAGGCCTGACTCAACCAGTCCGCCTTACGCTTGAGCTCAGCAAACCCTACCGTAAAAGAAACGAGCTAATCCTCTCGCTGAGTCGCTCGACATAAACAGCAATGATAGCGCGACACGATTGGATACCAGCCAGCCAAGCAGACCAAATTTGGGTAAGTGGCATAGTCTCCTATCCTCTGCTCATTCTCACTATAGGGTGCAAGTGGCTTAAGAAGTTAGGTTAGACAACCAAATCATAACAAAGTCGTCATCGTGGTAAAAGAACCACCTGATGCAGCGTCAGAATGTAAGATTACCACTTTGCGAATGTCAGTAACTGAGCCTTCAATATATCCTACCACGACTGATCATCTACCTGTAACGGTATTCTACAACTTAGCTCCAGTTCAAATTTCTTACACTAAGGGAGGGGGGGAGATTACTATTACTGGATATCTGCAACAATACAAGATGATCATAGAAGAACTGTTCAGCAAGATTTTTTTACTATAACAAAGAAAGAGAAGGGGGTGTCTTGTTGAACCTTCATCAATTATAAGCAAACAATAATCATGAACTTTGATTGCCACAAACATTCTGCATCTATCCTTAATCTAGGACTACCAACTACGCAGGAATAGCCTCTGAAAATTGAAACAAAAAAAAAACACGCATTCCATCACATATTGGCAACTCTGAAACAAAACCTGTCCGTCTCTCAAGATAAATCACTTCAAGGAAGATTTGAGCTAGCACCAGCACCACCACCGTAGCCTCCAGCACCACGGCCAAATCCTGTCCTTGGACCAGAAGAGCCGCCCTGCAAATAGAAAGAGTAGAGGGATTCAGCCACCGAAAACCAATTCAAGCAAAAACAGGTTGTGAATAAAGTCCAAGAAACAACTGATTTCGCAAGGGAATCAGGTTATCCAAACTGAAGCTGTGACATTAACATCAGTCTGTTACTACAATAGCTAAGACAATACTCCTAAGAGAGTTCGATTCTCAAATGAAAAACCAAAAGCCATTGTGAGAGACTAAGAACAATAAGAAACTAATCAGACGCCTTGCTCCAGAAATACCACACCAAGACCAACTTGGTAATAATCCAACTAAACACTCCTAATAGTAGGAATGGCAATGGGCCAGGTCCGGGGCGGGTTTCTTGGTACCCACACCCGCCCCGTGGCAGTTCGGGTAATTTATCACGGGTCACGGGTCGGGGCAGGTCGACCCAATGGGTAAGCAGTTAATATGAAAAATATTAGAAATGTTCGTCATTTTTATTATAAGACCATGGAAACAAACAACATTATGATAAATATAGTTAAATTATTGGAGAAATTGAGGTTTTCACTAATTTACAACTTTATTATAGCTAAAATTTGATTTAATAAAAGGAAAATCTTAAGTAATTTGACTAAAATTACGTGTAATTTAGGCAAGAACGGGTCGAGAATGAGGCGGGTCAGGGCAGGTCGGGTCTATGAGAGTACCCATGCCCGCCCCGCCCCGCCTACGGGGCGGGTCGGACCCACCCCAAAACAGGTCAAACAGGTCGGGTAAAATGGGTCAGGTCGAAATTGCCATCCCTACCTAATAGAGTTCTGTTCTCAGAGGAAAACCCCAAATCTACAGAGGGAGACTGAAAAGTTTATGAACTCATCGAGCCATAGTTGATACACAAAGCTGGAAACTAGGAAAACCAGAAACTAACTGGACGCCTTGATCTACAAACCAGCACAATAAGACCAACATAGTAATAAACCAACTAAACAGCGAATTCAATTCTCATTGCATCATGCAACATTCCAACAGCAAAACTACAATGGGAAAGTAAAGGCAAATTCATAATTTGAGAACAGAACTACTAATAGTAATACTCACCCCATAGGTAGGTTTGTAGTCCGCCGGAGCTCCGCCCTTGTCACCAAAATCGCCACCAGGAGCCCTTGGTCCAGCACGATAACCATCCCTATCACCACCGAACCTCCTCTCCCCATCAAAACGTCCCGGGCCACTAATTCGCAAAAAAAGAGTACCAAACAATTACCACATTGCATAACAGGCAAATCCTACAATTAAATCACCTATGATTAACCATAGTCCAAAAAATCAAATACGCCCAAATTGTAAACAAAACAGCAAGACAAGAAGATGATCATTACCGTGGGCGGTCACCAGGTGGGCCGCCAAAGGGTCTGCCGGCGGGCCTAGCCTGCTTTTTCAAGGTAGCAGGGACGATCTCCGAAGGCAGGTTGAGGTATGTTCGCAAAAACTCGATGCCTTCATTGGTGAGGTACCAGTAATAATGCATCCAGGCGAAAGTCTCACGGACATACTCCTTGGATTTGAAGCTCTGCATAAGCTTTATCACCTGCAGATTTGGGACGTCGATCTCTGGATGCTTCGCCAGATTGAAATCCTTCTTCGCAAAGCAGACTCCCTCTGAAAAAATCGATAACCCATTCAGGAAATAAATAAAAAACAAATCCGAAAGCAAAAAATAAGGAAACCGAGAGAGACGACGGAGGAGTGCCGAACCTTGGAAAAGGTACTTGGAGATCTCGCGGCGATTCTTCTCGGAGATGATCTGGCAAACCGAAACCCCGATCAGAATGCATTAAGTATACAACCGGAAAAATACACGCAAATGGAATCGAACGGAATGGCTACATAAGAAAGGGAGAAGAAGTACGAACCATTGTTAAGCCGCAGGTGAGAGCAGATCGTCGGCAATCGGACGCTGTACCAGCGGAAGAGCTACAATCTCGAAGTCGCACAGTCTTGCTTTATCGCCTTGGAGCAGAGAGAAGAAAAACCTAGCTGCGTTCTGTTTCGGATTTTATAATGGCCAATTTCACTTGTATAGCCAAAACTTTGACGTTTGTGACAAATATAGCCACTTTTGGAGAAATACCAGAAATAGCCAGAATTTTGAAAGTTCGATGACAAATATAGCCATTTCCGTTACATAGTTTGACGACGTCAATGACACCGTTAGTCTAATTAACGGAATGATGATGTGGCTGCCAACTCATCACACACGTCAGCGACAAGTCATCAATATCATTGCCACGTCATTTTGATTTATCTTTTAACAATTCTGGGTGGATAAATGAAAAAAAATTCCAAATAGTTTTTTTTTATCTGAACAATTTTTATTTATTTATGAAAACTAAAAAACTAAATAAATAAAACAATAAATAATTTTATCTCACATCCCTCTAACCCTCTCTTCTCTCTGCCTCCGCCCGCAGCCGTCTTTCCTTCCTCCACAGGCGATCAAAACCAATCGCCACCACCTCCTAGTCCCATCTCCGATCTCGCTTCCCTCGATACCGCTCCTCCCTCGACCAGTAGCAAGCCAGGTCCCCCCTCCCCCCAAATCCCGGGGAGACCACTGAAACGACAGCCGGCAAAGACGCCGACCAAGAGCGACGCCGACTTCGCACCGTTTCCTCCGTTCGTCGTTTCCTCTATTTGTCGGGCACGGAGCCTCCAGATCATCCGCCCTCGTTCTATTGGTAAGGACCACAAAACCCTCGCAGCTTCGAGCTCAATCAATCGCTAAACTAACTCAACCCGTGTTCATGAACCAAAGTTTTGCCGACGGGATTGCGGCGATTTAGAGCTCTGAAGCCGTCGATGTCGCAGCAGGAGCGGCAGTGACTTAGATCTGGGGGTTGGTGGTGGCTGTTGCGGAATGAAAATAAATCGTGGTTAGGGTTAAATTTGTTGGTAGAATTCCCAAGCTAGGAAAGGTTAAGGAATTCTTTCTTCTTTACTTCGCTCACTTCTTCTCTGTTCTGTAACTTTACCTTTCTTGTTCATCTTTTCGATCCCTAGAGTCTTTCCTAAAGTCAGATTTCATAATTCGGTGTGGTAGGTTGGTGGTGAGTGTGAAGGTTGGTGGTGACTGTCTGTTTGGAAATTGGGGAGGAGGAACAGGGGGGAGTGATTCTGTGGAAGAATGGGGAAGGAGAGAGATTGGGAAGGTTGGTTGGGAGGGAAATTGGGGAGGAGGAACAGGGGGAGTGATTCTGGGAAGAATGGGGAAAAAGGAGAGAGATTGGGAAGGTTGGGTGGGAAAAGAACGGAGAGGGAGAGAGAAAATAAAAAAATATTTAATTATTTTATTTTCATTTTTTCTTATTATTCCAGCTCATATTTTTAATAATTAAAAGATTAACATGTCAGCTTTTCTGTTAGTCCAGTCAACACGTTAACTAACACCGTCAAACAATTGGACGGAAGTGGCTATTTTTGGTATTTCTCCAAAAGTGGCTATATTTGGCATAACCGTCAAAGTTTTGGCTATACAAGTGTATTAGGCCTTTTATAATCTGTTTTGCAGTCTTTTCCACTTTGGGCTTAAACTTTGGGCCTGGAAGAAAACCTACGGTCTAATGCAAGATAGGCCGGTGATCGGGTCAAATTGTTACCAAGATAAGAGCCCATAGTTTAAACACGTTGGGCCTCTAGGCAGCAAGCCGAGGCCGGCCCAGTGGAAGGGAGGGGCGGCGTATCTGATGACGTCAGTATGAAAGTGTTAGGCCGCTACCAGTCAAGAACTAATTCGCATCTGTAATTATCTTATTTTTTTGGCCTCTATAATGATGTCAAAATTAATCTACAAAATTCGTTGTTGTCAGAATGACCATTGATATACGTCCAGAAGTAGGGTTTCGGTCGAGGGATCAGTGCTCGACCCTTTTCGAGACGGTTAATATTGATGATGTAATGTGGCCTTCAATGTGTAAAATAACGTGAATGCGAAAAGTAAAGAACACAAGGAATTACGTGATATCCCCGGAAAATCGGAACTAATCCACGGAGATCAGAGCTCTCATGATGAGGGTTTCGCTATGTTGTACGGAAGTAATTTCAGCTTAGGGTTTCTTGCCGATACAAGTCGGCATCCAAGCTACTTATACCCTTCGCCAACTCTTACGGGTATAGTAGCAAATTACAAAATGCCCCACTAACGAATAAAAGGAGCACAATCTAGCCTAATACAGTGCAAATCTCCCCACTGATTAAAAAATTACTGAGTGGCTTGGTTCCAATTTAACATTTTTTACTGTTACATATAATTCAGAAATTCGAATAGTTAGTGGTTCGATCTTTTTCTAAGTTCGGAACTAGTTGATAACTTGTCATCTTTTGTTTAACAAAAAATATTGGAGAACTAAATCTCATTTGATAACGCATATATTGTCATTTTGTTTTAGGACTTTGCTACGGTGACATGCATGTAACGGTGACATGCACTTTTCGGTCGACCTCATATAGGATCAGGTCGACCTAATCTGTTGTTTCAGTGTAAAAACAGTTTCATGGTGCCTACTTTGGAGATTCATATCTTACAATTGGCTAGATGGAAATTGGAGATTAAAGGCTTGTTTTGAAGCTGAAGTGTCCCTCTACACATAAAAGTACTTGGGAGCTCAATAGAAAGTCCAGAAGATCATTTTTTAACCTGACCAAAAGGCTATGCCAAAACTGAAAAATTGCCTGAAAATGGCTAAGTCTGGCAACGTGTTTGTCAAGCCTACTTTGGAGCTCAATTTGAGAAGCATGGATGCGAGTCAAGTCCAGGGGCCTCTACCACGTTAAATTACGTATTTTTTTATACAAAGGCAAGACATTGGATGAAAGATTTAATATCTTTAAGGCTTCAAACAAAAGGCTCGAAGTTGCTACGAAGGCTATTTTTCTGGCAGCTTGCTTGTGCTCGAAGTCTGCCAGAAAAACAGCCTTCGTAGCAACTTCGACCCTTTTGTTTGAAGCCTTACAGATATCCAATCTTTCATCCAATGCCTTGAATTTGTATAAAATATACCTAATTTAACGTGGTAGAGGCTTCTAGACTCGACTCGCATCCATGCTTCTCGAATTGAGCTCCAAAATAGGCTTCACAAACACGTTTCCAGACTTAGCCATTTCCAGGCAGTTTCCCAGTTTTGGCATAGCCTTTTGATGAGGTTCAAAATTGGTCTTCTGGACTTCCTATCGAGCTATCAATCACTTCAATATGTAGAGGGACACTCCAGCTTCAAAACAAGTCATTAGTCTTCAATTTCCATCTAGCCAATTGTATGATATGAATATCCAAAGTAGGCACCATGAACTGTTTTTACAGTGAAACAACATATTAGGTCGACCTGATCCTATATGAGGTCGACCGAATCCTAAATGAGGTCGACCAGATCCTATATGAGGTCGACCGAATTCTAAATGAGGTCGACCTAATCCTAACTGAGGTCGACCGGAAAGTGCAAGTCACTGTGACATGCATGTCACCGTAGGCACACCCTTTGTTTTATTATATTTGTTATTTATAAAAAAAAAGCGGCAACTGTTAAAATAGTATAATACAAGCACTTGAATTTATTGGAATTTATCCCAATTAACAATCCACTATCAAGTTTCGCAGTTTAGTGAATGATATGACAATTGACATTAGTTAAAATGAAATTTCACATTTTAGTTTGATACGTTTTTAACTTTTTATAATTGGTGACTATCATAATGAGTCTTTTAAAAAAAACTTAAATTTTTTACGATACGTCACCTTGAATGGATAGAAATATAGTAAAACAAATATATATAAGTGTATAATCTGCGGGCATGGTGGTGACAGCACCGGCAGCATTATATGTGGGGATTTCAGAGAGAGTTCTTGTGAAACTACTGGCCTTCTAGGATGCACTTCGATGGTGCTTGGCGTGTGGATTCCATTCAATGACTTTTGCAGGTGACGCTCAAGTGATCATGAGGAAGATCCGAGAGGGCAAGGTAGTTGATGTCCTTGGGTTGGGGGTATGCTTTTGGAAGACGTTCGAAGTTTGCGAGACTTGTTCCAGGAGTTTCGTGTTATTTTTGTGGGTGGGGAGTTTAACAGGGTTGCCCATTTATTGGCAAGAAAAGCCCTTTCGTTGTCCCCTTCTTTGGTGGGGTTCAATTTTGTTTCTTGCACTTCAAGAAACTGCACTCTCTGCGACGAATTCTATCGCGACGATTGTGTGTCGTTGCAGAATGTTCAAGACTTTCAGCGACGATTGTGTGTCGTTGCAGAATGTTCAAGACTTTCTGCGACGAAAGGCCATCGTCGCAGAAGTGATGGAGACTTTCTGCAACGACACACAATCATCGCAGAAAGTCTTTAACATTCTGCGACGACACACAATCGTCGCTGAAAGTCTCCATCAATTCTGCGACGACGGACAATCGTCGCAGATAGTCTCCATCAATTCTGCGACGATGGCCTTTCATCGCAAAATGTCTAAGGACTTCTGCAATGATTTCTGTCGTCGCAGAATGTTTGTAGACTTTGTGTGATGTTTTTCAATTGTCGTATTATGTTTCAAGAAATTTTATATAATTGGAACCATGGTTAGTAAATACTCCGTTTAATACACTTATATGTATCCATACGAATATTATTCGTTTGAAACTTTCATATTCGTATTATTGTCAAGGCATTTCATTTCCCCCTGTTCATTTTATGGCTCCCGCACTAAAAACATACAAAACTCGTATAACACGTTTAATATCCGTATTTAATGAATTAAATTGCTAACTTAACTAATATTTATATATTTATTTATTGACGTACTATTGAACGTAACATTAATCTAGAAACGAAGTAAAATACAAGCTAATGGAACTTAATTATTCAAACATAAGCTTCTTTCATTTCTTTGGAACTTAATTATTCCAACTTAATTGTTACAAATCTCTAAGCGATAACAACAATAGAATAATATAGAATAACAAATATTCAGCTGTAGCACGAT